TGAAAAAAAATACACAAATTGGTATCTAAAAGTGACACTTTTGATCTATGAAAGATTCGCTTACACAATTCACTTACACTTTTGATCTATTTATTTTTCTTATGATTTAATGTTAATTAAACATTCTCCCGCTATCTCATTTTTGGGTTTTGAGTTTATGATTTAATTAATTGCAATGTTTATTTTCTTAGATTAGTTATATGCATTTGGATCTTAAAAATGATGAATGTCAATGTAGAATATTTTTCTTTTAACATGTGAAAAATTTGAAATAGATAGCTATCTATGGCTTACTGCTTGAACTATGTGATTTTGGTGTGGAATATAACTTTAGTTTGTGTTTTGACGTTGTCTTGGACTATTGTGCACGGTGCTGTATAGTAGGTGCGAAAATTTTGTAATCTAACATTGCACTGTTAAATTTCAAAGAAAATTTGTCTATTTTGGGCTTGATGACGGTTAAGAATGCGGGCAAATTGGAGTTCATCAGAGACTTGGAGGCTATCAAGGTGATGATAACTGAAATTTCTGTTGTTAACACACATGTTGAAAACTTAAACATATCTTTTGTGTTTGTTTCCTTTCAAGCTAACTTTAATGACAAGTTTGACACTACCTAAAGAATTGGGTGGTGGGATCATGGGATCAAAATCCCATGCCAAAACCAAGGCGAAAGAAAAGTTGTTTGCTAGGGAAGCACTTAACAAATGTTCTTAGGAGTTTCTTATATTTTCTAATTTATGTATGTTTCCTTTTATGAGCCAGAGTATTTCATTAAAATTTTATGCCTAATGTTCTAATTTTTTATATTTGATATATTTGAATTTATAATTCACTATGCTTATAAATCAGAAACTGAATATGCGATTGAATATGCTACCACCTGTTTATATAGTTGTAAACATGTTTTGTTAATTAGAATTTCACAAAAAATTGAAAAAATTAAAGTTATAAATTATTCATAAAACAAACAGAGATTAAATTAGCTGCCATTATGTTTGTACAAATTAGTGATTAAATTAGCCACTAAAAAAAGTGATCGCAGATTAGTTACACTCTTATTGCAATTTAGCAACCAAAATTAGTCACAAAAATTGGTGGTTGCTGATTGATTATTGAATTAGTCTCATAATTTTTTGCCACAGATTAGCCCGTGAATATATTATATATTTGGTCGCTAATTCAATGGTTAAGTCCATTTGTTACTGAATTACAATTTTAGCAATTGATTTTGTTGGTCACAAAGTCACATTTTTCTAGTAAGGTATGAGTCACCAAACTAATAGAGGCTACTAAGGTATCCTATTACTAAATAAGGCTGTTAAGGTATCGTTTCTCTTCTGTAAATAACAAATGGACCTTGTTTTTCTCTCACTTTATTACCAAATAAGGCTACTAAAGTATCATTTCTCTTATACAAGTAGGATGAGTTAAAGACTTGTTGACATAGGTGAGTTACCTCCTTTTAACCATTGAATTCATAATTATGGACGACAAAAACTTTGATGAGTCTCTCGTCATTTTAGGATATCATGAACATTGTACAAGAAATAATAACTCTAAAATCAAGAGAAGATACAATAATTGAGTCTTTGCTGTAAAATTATAGGAATAAGAGAAAAAAAATCACAAATGTTACAAAAGAGAAGTTAAATTACCTTGTCAAATGATCTTTAAGAGGACTGCTGGAAATTCTCCATCTAAATTTGAGTAAGAAATTCATAATATAGAAGACTTATGGACAAGTGCTTCTTGAGACAACATGCATAATTCATTATTTCCAATAAATAAATTAGGAAATAAGAGTCATTGTAAAATATAATTATCATATATCCTTTTTCTTTACTAGTATTTAAAAAAGTAAACACATACCACATCTTTTATTGCATTCATATTAATTATTATATAAAATTTGAGATTAAAAAATTTAATTTAAATAAATAAAAGTTATGAAGATTAAATAGAAATAATTAAAATTAAGACAAATCACACATAAATTAAAAATACTATTAAACTTTGTAAACATAATTATATTAATATTCTCAATTTAACAAAAAAAGTGAATTATGGACATCCAACAACATAATAAACATTTTTTTATTAACTATAAAATCAATCAATTAAATAAATTTTTATAATATGAAGAATTGAAAAAAGTAATAAAATGCAAAACCGTACCTGAAATATATCTCTCTATTGAGTGTAATAACTATTCATTGTTATTAAAAATTTATGATAAATTATAGCAAAACTAAAAAGCATATGTATTTTTTTAAAGAAGGGATATGTTAATGCTCTAAATTGGGTGAGAAAATATAAACTATTAACATTTAATAAAATACATAAATAATAAATATTAGGCTATACTTTTATTAAATATAAAATAATTAATAAATAAATAGAAATATTTAAATAAAACAAGATGGATAATATAAAAAAAATATTTTGTTTTTTATCTAAGAATTTTTTAAGTATCTATGCACAATTCTCTTACACTTTAAGACAACAATCATTAATTCTATTAAAAAAATAAGATTTATTATAAATAAAATAATAATCAAATTGTATTACAAATAAAAATATCATGTCATATATTTATTATTTATTAATAATAAATTTTTTTGTCACTAAAATAATGGTTTATTTGGATGCTAGATGATATAGTCATTTGAAGCATATGATTAACTTTGATTCAATTGATAATACATATCTTTTATTTTCAACGCATTTGCATGATTTAAAACATTTGTAATTTAAAGTTAAGTCATTCCTTATTTTGGATGTCATTGACTAAATTAATTGTAATATGTGTTCCATGATTTTTTAATATGAAAGAATCTATCTTAATTTTGATAATATTTACAAGTCTAACTGAATATATTTGGATATGAATATTTGTATACTTGTAGTTTCTTCAATATAATTATTAGTTCTATCCTTCCAAATGAAGATAATAATTTATCAAATATCATTAAAAATATTGTAAATAAAAATATGTTTTTAAGGTTAAATTGAAATTTTATGTATATTTTATTTTCACAAAACTTTTATTTTAGTTTTTGAATAATAAGTATTAGACATTTTAATTTATAAAATTTTAAAAAGAGGAAGGATCTTCTCACACTAGTGTAAGTCTAAAAACTCTTACACTTGATCTAAGTCTTTCACTTAACTTACATTTAACGGTCAGATAAATTATATCCTGTTAGATGTAAGTTAAATAAAAAGTTTAGATCGAATATAAGAGTTTGTAAACTTACACTAGTGTAAGAAGATCCTGTTAAAAAGCTTAGATCGAATATAAGAGTTTGTAGACTTATACTAGTGTAAGAAGATCCTGTTGTTTTTAAAAATCTTATGTTAATTCCTAACTTTCAACAAGCATTTTAGTCTTTAAATTAAAATACCATTAATATAAAGTAACAAAATATTTACTATATCATATTAAGTAACAAGTGTGAAAGTTGAATTAACAAAAAATGATGTCATTTTATTGTTCAATCCATTGTGCCCTAATTATGTAAATAATCTCCTTACAAGAATTGATACTTCATAACCTCTTCCTAACAAGTTGAGATTTTTAAACTTGTAAGAGACTATTCCATCTTCAAACTGAATGAAAGATTATAAATTTTAGCTTTCATGTCTAGTTTATTAATTAAGGGGCTCCAATGGGGCAACTAAGGTTTGGTCTCTTATGATAGTGCAGGGGAAACAAAACTCTCAAGAACTTCAACAAAGCCAATAAAATTTCAAGCTTTACCAGAGAAAAGTTAAACAAAAAATCAATCTCAAAATGTAAAAAACTTTTCATAAAAAGTAGAGTTTTCAACTCAACAAACCTCCATAGATATCAATTAGAAAAACCAACATTCAACTTAAACATTCGATTTCTTTGTTTCCTTTCCCAATAATGATAAAGATTGCATCTTTAAGTAGAAACACCAAAGCTATTTATCATCCATCTCTCATCACACACTAAAGTCAATGACATCAAAGCCAAAAGTAAAAGAACTCATCCACTTTCAACCATTTTTCTCCCTCTTAAAACAGTCCCTTCCTTGAAAAACTAGTGTCCTTTAATCAAATTTCAACCCTTTCAATCTTCTTCTTTTTTTTAAGAAAATTAAATTTATCAACTATTTTACAACATAGAGACAAATCTTAATGGGTCTTGAACACTATCATTGGCACTAATGATGAAGGACAAAAATATCAATAGGTCATAATCATTTTAAGTTGTAGTAGAGTACACAAAGTTACGATACTTCACTTTCAATTTCAATGGTTCTCTCGAACACACCAATTGGACTCTTTTGTTTTTCACCTGAGTATTGTACCTAATATCTTATTCTTTTATTTCCTTCACCAACAATGATAAAGATTATATCTGTAAATAAAAATACCATGTGGATGACAGAAGGAGAAGGAAAAGAGTAAGTGGTAGATATTTAAGGAGACATAAGAGAGATAATTGTGTATGAATGGTTGGCTAAGTAAAAAAGTGAGTATGTAAGTACAACTGTTTCAAACAATAAAACAACATTAATTTTGCCAACTTAGCTTTCAAACTTGTTACTTAGGGAATTAAACAAGTGTTAAATATGTTATCTAAAATTCTACACAGAAAAATAGATATCAACCCATTGCATTATTTATTTTAGTATAAAATGAATTCTAAATAAATTTATTCTACTACAAGAGTACATATCTAGACAATAAGGAAAAATGCTTTCAAGATGAAAGTGGTTTAATAACGAATATATGTAAAGTGTAATTTGACAATAACAAACAAAAATATAGGCAAAATGAAATATGTGTAAGCTTTTATATATATGTTTTTTTTCACACTAAAATTTCCCTTTAGTGAAGAGAGAGAGAGAGAGAAATTAGAGTAAAAATCTTACCGTGAACAAACAAGAGAATTATATGTTAACTATTAAAATATGAATGATAAAAGAAATCAATGTAATAAGAGAAATGTAAAAACCACGGCTTCTTCATGTAATATATTTTGATACTGATTGTTCTCCAATGAAACTGAAATAGTCATTCTGTCTCTCAAGAAGGCGTACAACCTAAAATAACAAGTTATTAATTTCAATTAAGCACTACCCATGACCAAACAAAAGTATCAATATTATTGTCAACATTATCATGTTTTTTAATAATAATGCAAAGAGAAAAAAAAATATTTATAATCATAGATATTTTTCTTTATTTAGATATCAGAATAATAACTCATCATTAAAAAATTATTAAACATTATTAGAATTAGAAATCGACATAGCAATTACTTAATTTATGCATGATATGTTGTGTTGTTGGTTCATTATATATAGACAGTCTAATTCTCAAGGGATTTAAACCTTGGATATATATATATATATATATATATATATATATATCCAAGGTTTAAATCCCTTGAGAATTAGACTGTCTTACAGTGGATATGATTTTCCAAGATATTTCTAAAATAAATAGCATTAGCATGGAGGGTGATTTTGTGTCAGTTATGTACAAAGTTGAATTTGTTAAGTAAAGACACTTTATTGCAAAATAATAATAATCTATGTGAATTATGTAAGGAAACATAAGAATATGTTAACCATCTTTTTCTTTCTTCTTGCAAACTATTGTATTACCTACTATATAATGAAAAATAAATGAAAAACACATGTTAATGTTTATTGAATTGTGTATAAGAGAAAAAATTAAAAACATCTAAATAATGGTTAGTAATTTGGATAACTGTTGATTAGATATTGTCTATTGTATTTGTTCTACTCCTTTCATATATTACTGCAATGCCACCCTCTCCTATAACTTTTGGTTGTTTTTCTGTTCATTGACTATATTATTTGGTTTTACCTTGTTAACTATGTAGCTTCTTCTCTTCTCAATGACAATCTCAAGAATAATAAACAATGATTTTATGCAATGGTGAAGCCTATGAGTGAAAACTTGGTCATTACATAACATTAGAATAGTTTGAAGAACATCAATCATTGGAAAATGATGACTTGTGACTTTGGGTAGAAAAATAACTCCACGAAATAATTACTAAAGTGACCTACATGTAACTATTGTAAAAAAATAACAAATAGCGGTATTACTAAAGTTAAAAGATGCCAAATGGGAATAAGGGGATATGTTGGTTCTTTTAACAAGATCTCTCTCAAAATAAAGAAGCATTTCATTAAAGCATATAAATAATAAAAGAGTTAAAACTAAAGCATATATAGTTATGCTGAACAAAAAAAATGTTAATGATGAAGAGATTAAAGAAATAAATTAAAAGATGACAAAAGACAACTAATAATGATTTTCATATTCCTATTACTAAAAAGGAAAAATATTAATTTAAATTTGCTTCCTATTAAGAATTTGGAAGCATCAATGAAGTATGGAACAATCAAGATACAAGACAAACATCAATTAATCTTGTGACAAAAAAAAGAAGAAGAGAAATTTGTAGAAAATTTTAATATATTGATGAATATTTTATAGGAATACAATCCATTTCAATGTTGTGAGGTATAAAAGTTTTAAACTAATGGATGAGGTAGTTAATAATAATTTAAATATACTAAGCTAAGCATTGATGAAATGAGAGCTCTATTACTTAAGAAGGAACTCAATAATGATAAAGTCTTGACAACTGAAATAGATGAATTTTGGTTGCTCAATTAATGAGTCAATGTATATAACTTTGGTCTTCTTTTTTCTTTACAAAGTTAAGCAATGTGAAACTTTTTTGAAAAGCTTTATTTCAACAAACTATAATTAATGTGATGTTCATTGCTTATATTTTATGTTAGAGGACATTCAAAAGATTAAAAAAAAAATTAACCATATCCATAAAGGTTGTTCTCTTGTAGGACTTGTTAGATTATTTTAATAATCTTATTATAGTGGCCTATGTAACTTATAGCATGACTCTAATTAATGATTTAATGTGATGGTTGTTAAATATAAAATATAGAGCCATTGAGGGTATAATTGTAAATACAATTATAAGGAAACCATCCCCTCTCCCTTCATATAAATTAAAGAGTGGTTACCAAATAGGTTACGACATTCTCTATTCTCACTTTCATGGTTTTTGAGTGAGCTCACGGTATGCATAAATGAACTTTCTCTCAACCATCCAAGAGAAGCTGAAAAAGGAAGGAAGAGCTGGAGAAAATACTAAGGAATCAACGACATCAAAAGAGAGAGGTAACATCAAGGAACAATGGATTCAGGTTAGTGCTCTCTAAACCCTTAATTGTATGAGAACCATATATTGTGTTGTGAGAGCAACGTAATTCAAAATCTCAAAGGGAAAAGGTAATTTTATAATAGTCATTGCATAATAGAAATTACATAATGGATTAAAGAAAATTCTAACAGTTGGTATCAGAGTATAAGTTGTGAATTTTGTTGATTCTCCATAAGAGATTGGTTCTCCATTAAAGTTTTCCCCAAATTACATGAACCCTAGGTATTTTATATGATGAATTAGCATTATTTTGATGTTGAATAATTGTTTTGGATTCAATAATTGAAAACCCTAAGGTTTTAGAAGTTAAAAACGTTGAATTTTGAATCTGTAATATAAGCAGGGCCATGTATCAGTGAGCAGGGCCATGCATCAGAGAGCAGGGCCACGCATCAGGAACAGCCACGGCCATGCTTCAACGAAGCACGACCTTGCATAATGGAAGCACTGCCTTGCATATTGTAAGCACAGCCATGCATCAGGAAGCAGGGGCATGCACAAAAAATGAGCATGGCCTTGCTTCATCGAAGCATGGCCATACATTAAGTAAAAGCACAACCGTGCATATGAATTTTACGGCAGGATAAGGAATATAATTCATAAAATATATAGATAATTTTAGAATTACATCAAAGTGAATTTTACTCACCAAACTGATTAAATTCTCAAGTTAATTAATTTTAAATTACATTATCATAATGAGAACTTCACAATTTAGTGCTTAATTTTAAGAGTAGCTTGTTAGTCACCAAAGTGGCCTAGTTTTAAAAGTTCTTTAAGCATTTAATTATGTGTTATAAATTGTTCAAAAATTGTTTGATGCTATATGGAAACAAAGAGTGCACAATTTAGCTCATTAATTATAACACTAGGAGATCGCCCAAAAGTGGATCATTGCATATGATTAATGACATTAAGGAGACATGTAAACACTTCATAATATGTTTGTATATCCAAAGATGACTTGCATATTGGTTTGAGTGACTGGTTGTCAATTAAAGTTGTTTATTAGCATCATTATAGATAAATTGTGTATTTAGGTGTTACCCAATGGTAAACTTAGATGCATAATTGATGGCAGTTGACTGTCCGAATCCATTAAATTTATTCAAAGCATAAATGTTTAAGCATGTGTTAAATATTTCAGTCTCTATGAATGCATATGGCATGAGCAATGACGTAGTCAAGTTCAATGGGCTTTATTATGATGATTAGGCTGAACAAGTTCGATTATAGCTAGGTGTTATGGACTTAGATGTAGCAATCATTATGGAACAAGAGCTTGCAGCCATCACAGAGACTAGTACTGAAGAGGAAAGAACTCTTCGTGAGGCTTGAGAAAGGTCAAATAGGCTGAGCTTGAGCTTGCTGAAGATGACTATGGCTGAAAATGTGAAACCATCAATGCCAAAGACTGAAAATGCTAGGAAATTTATGGCAAAGGTAAAAGAGTATGCACAATCGGACATTACTGACAAATCCATTATAGGCACCCTGTTGACTGAGCTAACTACTAAGAAGTTTGTTGGTCACGGTCCATTCATGACCATGTGACTGACATGATCAATCAAGCGGCAAAGTTGAAATCAATGGGCATGGAGGTAAAGAAATTCTTTCTAGTACAGTTATTTTAAACTCACTCCCTCCTGAGTTTGGTCAGTTCCAGGTGAATTACAACACCATTAAAGATAAATGGAACATACAGGAAATTAAGGCCATGCTAGTTCAAGAGAAAGGGAGGCTGAAGAAGGTGAAAGAACACTCCGTCCATCTCACATTTCATGAAGGGGCTAGTAGTAGCAAGGCTAAGCCAGGTAAGAAGGAAAACAAGGACAAGAAGGATAAGGCCTTATTAAAGGTTCGCGAAGGCCGAATCCAGAAGGGCCAGAGGTGCTTCTTCTGCAAGAAGACTGGTCACTTCAAGAAAGATTGTCTGAAGAGAAAGGTTTGGTTCGAAAGGAAAGGTATATATTACGTTTCAGTATGCTTTAAATCAAATCTTATTGAGGTACCTAAAAAATACCTAGTGGTTAGATTCTGGTGCAACTACTCATGTGTCACATGTAATGCAGAGATTTCTTTCGATCTAGCCCATTAGCAGAACTGAAAAGTTCTTGTACATGGGAAACAGAATGAAGGCACGGATAGAAGGAATAGGGACTTACAAATTGATCTTGATACTGGTTGTTGCATAGATCTAGAAAAGTGTCTTTATGTTCCTGAATGTGCTAGAAATTTAGTTTCTGTTATAAAGTTGGACGAATTTGATTTTAATTTTAAGATTGGACATGGTACATTTTCTTTGTATAAGCACTCGTACTATTTTGGATCTGCTACATTAATTGATGGTTTATATTGTTTCATTCTTAATGTTAAAATTGTTGAATCTCTGTTTCATGTTGAGAATGCTATTAGTAGTAATTTGAATGTTCGTAATGAATGCTCTACTTTCTTGTGGTATCAAAGGTTAGGTCACATATCCAAAGAAAGGATGATGAGGTTAATGAAAAGTAAAATTTTACCTCAATTGGATTTTGTTGACTGAAATGTATGTGTGGATTGTATTAAAGGAAAACAAACTAAACACACATCAAAGAATTCAGCCACAAGAAGCAGTCAACTCTTAGAGTTGATACACACTGATATTTGTGATCCGTTTGACATCCCATCTTGGGGTGGTGAAAGATATTTCATTACCTTCATTGATGACTACTCACGTTATTGTTATCTATATGTGTTGCATGAAAAATCTCAATCAGTGGATGTCTTACAGGTGTTCATTGATGAGGTGGAAAGGCAACTGAATAGAAAGGCAAAGGTTGTGAGGTCAAATAGAGGTGGTGAATATTATGAAAAATTTGATGAAAGTGGACAATGTCCAGGTCTATTTACGAAACTTCTGGAAAGTCGAGGCATATGTGCACAGTATACTATGCCTGGTACACCACAACAAAATGGTGTGGCTGAAAGGCAGAATCGTACTATCATGGAAATGGTTAAGAGTATGTTGAGTTACAGTTCTATACCTATGTCTTTGTGGATGTACGCATTAAAGACCGTTGCATATCTGCTTAATAGAGTTCTTAGTAAGGCAATTCCAAAGACTCCTTATGAACTGTGGACAGAAAAGAAACCCAGTTTAAGACATCTTCATGTCTGGGGTTGTCTAGCAGAAGTAAGAGTGTATAATCCACATGAAAAGAAGTTTGATGCTAGAACCATAAGTAGTTATTTTATCGGCTATCCTGAAAAATCAAAGGGGTACAGATTCTACTGCCCTAACCATAGTATGAGAATAGTTGAGTCTGAAAATGCAAGGTTCATTGAAAATGGTCAGTTTAGTGGGAGTGGTGAAACAGGAAAGGTGGAAATTAAAGAGACACGTGCAGAAACTCCTGTAGTTGGTGTCTCTTCTCCACTTGTTGTTCCTCTTGTTGTATCACGGTCACACAACATAAGGAGACAACAAGTTAATGTTCCAAACCCACAAGAACAACATATAAAGGATGAACCAGCTAAAAATGCACAAGTCACAAGTGAGCAAGAGGAAGGTGAACCACAAGAGATAGCATTAAAGAGGTTTGTGAGGCAGAAAAGTCTGGCTATTTCGAATGACTATGTGGTTTACTCACTTGAGCATGAATGTGACTTGAGTATTGATGAGGATCCAGTCTCATTTAAGCAAGCCATGGAATGTTACAATTATGAAAGTGGTTGAATGCCATGAAAGAAGAGTTAAAATCAATGAGTGACAACAAGGTATGGGACCTAGTCGAGTTGCCTGAAGGTTCAAAACAAGTCAGTTGTAAGTGGGTCTTTAAGACCAAATGTGACTCAAAAGGCAACGTTGAGAGATACAAGGCTAGACTTGTTGCTAAAGGATACACTCAAAAGAATGGCATAGACTATGAAGAGACCTTTTCTCCAGTTTCAAAGAAGGACTCTTTAAGAATTGTTATGGCTTTAATGGCTCATTATGACTTAGAGCTCCACCAAATGGATGTAAAGACCGCCTTTCTGAATGGTGACTTGGAAGAGGAAGTTTATATAGATCAGTCAGATGGCTTCTTGACCGCAGGTAAAGAAAGTATGGTATGTAAGTTAAAGAAATTAATATATGGGTTGAAACAGGCTTCCAGACAATGGTATCTTAAGTTCAATGATATCATCACGTCATATGGTTTTGTAGAGAACATTGTTGACCGGTGTATCTATATGAAGGTTAGTGGGAGTAAGTTTATCATTTTAGTCCTGTATGTTGATGACATTCTTCTTGCTACTAATGATGTTGGCTGTTGCATAATGTAAAGGAATTTCTCTCTAAGAACTTTGAGATGAAAGATATGGGTGAAACTTCCTATGTGATTAGAATAGAAATATTCTGTAATAGATCACAAGGACTACTAGGATTGTCTCAGAAAGGCTACATCAACAAAGTATTAGAGAGATTCAAAATGGAAAAGTGCTCATCAGGGGTAGTTCCAATTCAAAAAGGAGACAAGTTTAGGGAAATGCAATATCCTAAGAATGAGTTGGAGAAGAAAACAATGGAATCTATTCCCTATGCATCAGTGGTCGGGAGTTTAATGCATGCTCAGACATGCACTCGGCCTGATATCAGTTTTGTTGTGTGAATGTTAGGCCGATATCAAAGTAATCCTGGAATGGACCACTGGAAGGCTGCAAAGAAAGTTCTTAGGTATTTACAAGGTATCAAGGACTACATGCTTACTTATAAGAGATCTAGTCAACTGGAAGTGGTTGGCTACTCGGATTCAGACTATGCTGGATGTGTAGACTCAAGGAAATTGACCTTTGGCTACATCTTCTTGTTAGTTGAATGTACGATTTCATGGAAGAGCGAAAAAGAGTATATTATTGCTACGTCTACCATGGAAGCGGAATTTGTGGCATGCTTTGAGACCACTATTCATGCTTTATGGCTGCAGAACTTTGTCTTAGGGCTTGATATTGTTGATAATATAGAAAAGCCACTGAGAATGTATTGTGATAATTCCACAGCCGTCTTCTTCTCTAAGAATGATAAGTATTCAAAGGGAGGAGCAAAGCATATAGACTTAAAATACTTATTAGTGAAAGAAGAAGTGCAGAAACAGAAAGTGTCTATTGAGCATATTAGTACTGATTTAATGATAGCGGATCCGCTAACTAAGGGATTGCCCCCTAAAACATTTTCTGGCCATGTTGGTAGAATGGGTATTATAGACAAGTCCTTGTTAGCATGATTGTGTAATTCACATATGTGTGTATAGATTGTTTTGCTCATATTATTGTAGATATTTTAGAAATTCAATAAAAGTATTGTTTCTGCTTGTTTACTTGTTATCTGAATTGTGTTAATGTACATGTATGGTTTGAGTTTGATAACAAGTTGAGTGTTAAAAACACATCAGAGTTACAGTTTGTAGTATGACTGATTAAAGCTATTATGATTTGGGTTGGTTCTGTGATACTTGGAAGGAATCAACTTAAATCATTAAAAGATGATGACTTGATATTATCAATGATATGCGCACTTACAATTCATTGAATCTTCAAGTCGTCACATAGGCCAAGTGGGAGATTGTTAGATTATTTTAATAATCTTATTATAGTGGCCTATGTAACTTATAGCATGACTCTAATTAATGATTTAATGTGATGGTGGTTAAATATAAAATATAGAACCATTGAGGGTATAATTATAAATACAATTATAAAGAAACTCTCCCCTCTCCCTTCATATAAATTAAAGAGTGGTTACCAAATAGGTTACAACATTCTCTATTCTCACTTTCACGGTTTCTGAGTGAGCTCACGGTAAACGCATAAAGGAACTTTCTCTCAACCATCCGAGAGGAGTTGAAAGAGGAAGAAAGAGTTAGAGAAAATACCAAGAAATCAACGACATCAAAAGAGAGAGGTAACTTCAAGGAACAATGGATTCAGGTTAGTGCTTTCTAAATCCTTAATTGTATGAGAACCATATATTGTGTTGTGAGAGCAACGTAATTCAAGATCTCAAAGGGAAAAGGTAATTTCATAATAGTCATTGCATAATAGAAATTACATAATGGATTAAAAGAAAATTCTAGTAGGACTTATTTATAATCATTTCACGACTTTGAACATAACAAAGAAATTTACAAATAAGATGGACTTATCAAGCATGGAGTGATGCAATGTGCCACAACATACCTGATCACCTTACAAAAGTTGTTTAGACAAAAAGAAAACCTTAAAAAAAATATTCACCTTTAATAATTGGTTAAAGTCAAAGGTAGTTAAGGAGTCGAGGAGTAAAAATGCCTCTGACATTGCATTTCATTATATGCAGCAAACTATTATATAAATCCTAAGTATTATTATTGTAACCAAATATTTTGATCCTAAAGTGATACATGAGATACATGTTGTATTGAGAGGTTGAGTTTCTTTAACCAAAAAGTGAATAAAATTACAATTTAATTAACTTTATAGAGAAAAGTAGGAAAACTTTGGCTCCTAATTTACTAAGTTGTATTATTTTTTATTTCAATAAATCTAATAACATAATCATAATTAATTGTAATATCATTTAGTACATTATTGTTCAAACTGAGTGGTGAGGAACATATAATTATAATTTTGCATAACTAAATATCAAATTTATAATTTTTTTCTGTTGATAAACAATGCATATGTTAATGAAATACGAATTGATGAATAAAGTTTTAGAACTACTATTATGTAATTATATACGTATTATGCATCTAAACGAAAAATATTTAAATAGGAATCTTCTCTATTCATGTTATCGCTATAACATTTTGAGATTACCAACTATATAAAATAGCATGAATCTATATAATATAATAACTGTAATGTTGTTGTCCAATTACCTCTCCAATCGACGGTCGCTTCTCATGATCTCTTTGCACGCAATGGTATGCTACCTTGGCCATTACGTATAGCTCATCTGAGTTATATGACTCCCCCAAACGGGAATCTACAAGTTCATGAAATGCTAACTTCTCAATTTTGGGCTCTGCCTAAAATTTTTCATTTGTAATATTGCAAAAATTAGTCAAGTTGAAATTAAGTGAGATAAAATGCAAATCAAGTTGTTTTAATAATAACTTTTATTAATGTTATTTTGTTTCATAACTCTTTAAATATTAAAGTTTACCAACTCAACCATTAAAATAAAATATCTTTTTCAATATATTGTGTACAAAAAAAAAAATCATACAAAATAAAGAGTAGACACTTCACGAGAAATACTATTTTAAAGTATAATATATTTTTTTAAAAAAATATAAATAATATTAATTTTAAAATTACATGTTTCTAAACATTAGTCAATAATATGTTGAAGGGCAATATTTGAAAATATCTGAAGTGATGAATTACCCATTGTCGAAGGGAGAGATGTTGCTCTGGACTAGAAATGGCCTTGCGTCCTGTTATCAATTGTAAAAGAACAATCCCATAAGCATACACATCTATTTGCACAGAAAATATACCGTCCTCAGCATATTCAGGGGCAAGGTATCTACACATAAAGAAAGATCTTGTTTATTATTAGTTTCACATAAGAAGAATAATTTTTTTGAATAAATCCTCACCCTAATGTGCCCATTATCCTTGTTTGCAGTGTCTTATCACTAGTCTTCCATTTGGCAAGGCCAAAGTCACCTAGCTGTATTTATATATATGCATTATTCAATTGATAACACCCACCCTTTCTTATGACCAAGTGAAAATTGAAATTTGGTTTAGTATGCTCGTGAATTGCCAAAAAAGAGAATGAAGCATGTTGTTCTATTTTACCATTGGAACAAAATCATGAGTGAGTAGTATATTGCTAGGTCTCATGTCTCGATGAATGATAGGACCTCCACGACATTCTTCGTGTAGAAAACGCAATCCTTTCGCAGTTCCAATGGCAATGGCGTATCTTTGGTGCCACTCGAGAACTTCGGCTTTTTTATCTACAAATTTGTTTACCCAAATTTCATAAAATTTAATTCTTAGTGTAAAGAAAACAAGAGAGATAATTAATAAATGTTAATATAACTCTTAAGACTGAGTTAAGCAATTAATAATAATAATAAATTATTAACTTTTTTATTACACTTTTGTAACTTTAATGTAATAAATTTATTTTTAAAATAAAAACTTACTTCTTTTCTTTAAATTCAGTCTTAAGAATTGAGGTTAATAAAATTTATAAAAAAAAATTAGTAAAAGAGTTAATAAAACTAAAATACTTACCGAATAGATGCCATTCAAGAGACTTGTTGCAAATATATTCATATACCAGAATATTTAACCTTTCTTTGAAGCAGAATCCCAAAAGCATCACTATATTCTTGTGACGAGCAAGACTCAACACGTAAACCTCAGAACTAAATTCAGAAAAGCCTTGTTTACTTTCTTCTCTCCTTACCTTAGCAGCTATTTGTTGCCCATCTTTAAGCATGCCCTTGTATACACGACCATATCCACCTTCACCTAATAAGTTATTCTTTGAGAAGTCATCTGTTGCAAGCTGTATATCAAAATAGTTGAACCTCACTAATTCCGTGGTATATAATTCTGCTGGTGTCCCACAACCAGCACAAAGAATTGGAGCATCTGAAGAATTTGGTAGAAACCCATATTTGTTTTGTTTCTGGAAAATTTGAGAACTAATGGGATCTTTATATCCTTCTTTAATACTTATGCCTGTAAGATATTTAAAACTCTTATTTTTAGTCATAAGATTAAAAACAACTTAATAGAGTACAAAGTGAGTGCTGGACACTCAATGGACAATCCCTTAACTTTAATTAAAATGCAGAAATTAAGTTAATTAGCTATTAGTAATATTAAATATTACTTCCACGTTTTATTTATAAGAATAACTATCAATATTTTTTATTTAAATTAAAATAAATATTCAATTTTAAATCATTAATTATTTTTCTTTTGTACCTTCATTTCTCGTGGGATTTATGTTATAAAAATATTTATACCCCTTATTCATATAAATGAATTTTATTCAACTCATATACAAAACGTCAATTAATACAATGACTATTTCTAAACTAAATTAAATATAAATTTATAACATATAACTACTTTTATTGATAATGTTGAATTAAGTATTTATTTATTTTTATAAATACCGGAGGTAGTAAGTTATTTTATTAATTTATAAATTGAAAAAAAAATATTTTTTATTTTTAATGGACTACATATCGTAAATATTTAAAAAATTAAATTAATGTTATAAGTACTGTCATAAGTACTGTCTAGTAATAAAACGTATCAAATCTAACAATTTTTTTTTGTTACAATTTCAGTTTCTTTTAAAAATTAAAAGTGTTTAAAAGTAATTTTTTTTATTTTCTTCTATTCTTAAATTTTAATTAATAAAATATTTATTTATAACCAAATATTATCAAAATAAATAACTTTTTTTTATATTGAGTATTAAATTAATATATATTTTTACTTTCTCTATTTAACGTATTTAATAAGAAGTTTAATTTTATGAAAAGAATTGTATTTGTTATGGCCTTTCTTTTGTCAAAATAAAAACTTAAATTTGATTATAAAAATATAAGAAAATGTTGAGAGATTTTTAATATAAAAGATCAGGTAACATATAAATAAAAAGTTAGAAAACTTAATAAAAAAATAAAAAATGTTATGCATGTTATAGATTGATCATGGATGTAGACGGAGCATTAAGCCTAATGCTGCAAGAGCAGGTGGAGTATTGAGGAATGCAAAGAGTGATTGTGCTTGGGCTGTTTTAAAAAGCTATTGGCACTTTTTGTTCATATGAGGCTGAGGTAAAAGCTATTGCACATATCTTGTTATTCTGTGAAGTTTTTTTAATTGGGAGCAATTCTTTTTAGCTGTTGGTTGGAAGCTGATGAATATTAAGAATCATTCGTGGAAGTTAGCATGATTCCATTTTTAATAAGTTAATTGTATGGGATACAGTATAGCAATTTTCATATGCTAGGTCAAAAGTGCCAAGGTTGAGTTAGGGTTTTGCCCTTGCTTCTCGGAGCAGCTGTATTATGTGATGGGTTGATTTAAAATTAGATATATTTATAACTATTTTTTAATATATGCTTAAAAATATAAAATAAAATTTTATATGAATAGTAAAATTTTTACTAAAAATCACATCATCAATATTAGTGAATCTAACGTACTGAAACTGCATGTTACAAATTTTAATAAAAACTTATTCTATATTGATTTTTAATAGTATGCCTTTGTACACATGCTAGCAAAAATTAATATTGATAAAAACACTTGAATTAAAATCAATAACAATTATTTTTTTTAACGTTACCCATCTTTTTCTTATACATTATGTTTCTTGATAACAATTAAAGTATACATGAATAAATTAATATATTGATCTTATTGGTACATGAATGTAAAGATATAAGAATTTCTATAGATGTGCATAATAAATGGTTGATGTATCAAGCTTGTTTTCATTTTCAACATGCAGTAAAATTAGTCATAAGAAATGACCACAGTTATGTTAACACTCGTGTCTTCGAAGTTAGCTGGGTGATGTAAAGAGAAGTATAGTAACAAAATGGAAAAAACAAAAAGAGACAGAAAGTCAAAAATATCTTATCGATGATATGTTAAAAAAAAGTTATGTGGTACCCTTAAAAGTTTTCATGATATTATAGGAAAAATTTTAATTAATAATATTTAAAAATATATTTAAATAATAAATTTATTTAATAATAAATTATTATATTATATTATATTACATTATTTTATTTATCAATTAGTCCTTAATAATTATTGTTAATTAAAAATTAAAATTTAAGCTGTACTTAGAAGGATGAGGTTCGGATTTCACACCGTATAATCCACCCATTGTGGAACACCATAGCCTTGGTCATGGTTCCCACTAGATCCAACGGCACAGACACTTTGCCCAGAAGCCTCCTGGAATTGACATCGCAGGTGGTGCCGCGGCGGCCGTTGTAGAAGGAGATTTTGAGGCAGAGTTTGCCGGCGAAGATGGATTTTCCGGCGAGCCTGTTGAAATTGGACTTGCTGAGGTGGAAGGTGGCAACGATGGGCTGAACCTGAGAGTCAGGAAAGTGGGTATTGGGAGGGATGAAGGGGACGAGTGCAGATTGGAGAGGAAAGTTTTTGAGCTTGATCTTGCCGAAGCATGGAGAAGAAGAAGGGTGAACGAGGGAGGTTACCAATGCTTAGGCGCACGAAAGGCAAGGATCCATGGCGTGTGACAGAGGGAGAAAGAGAGAGGGGGAGATGGAGAAGGTGAATGTTAACGGAGGGAATGCAAAGGGGAGCAGCGACGCACAAGCGGAGCGGAGCAGCGATGCTCTGGGCTTAAAAATATTTAAAATCTTAAATTTTGAATGCACATAAGAAAAATTATGTAACAAACAATATAAATAATATATTTTTAAATAAATTATTTATAATAATTTTTTTTTAATTTATCACATGTTTTTTTTAGTATTAGCATAAATTTTTTGGGTTTAGTATCTATAACAAATTTTTAAAATTTTATAGCACACACTAGAAAAGGGTGAGACAGAAAGAATGTGACGGTGAATGGGGGATATGTTTGAATAAGATGAATTTGAAAGAATTTTTTTATAAGAGTAACTTTAAGGAGATGAAGAGTGAGCTTTCTTTTGTTGATGACTTTGTCATTCAGTGGAAACAGAGAAATTAAGTGAAGCCCACAAAAATAATTTCACCCCATTGATGCCATGAAATTGCGTGGGTCGTATGCTTGGTTTATTATTATTATTATTATTTAAGATAATATAAAAATTTACAATTTAAAATTAATTAATATTCAGAAAACATATTATATTAAAAGTTTAACTTTTTATTAAATTAAATTTTTATTATTATAAAAATATTTCGATACAATCTTAAGATATTTTTTACTTCTTTTTCTTCTTTGTACTTATTCTATTCAAACATTTCTTTTTCGCTCTACTTTTTTTTATTTCTTTCTTTTTCTTCTCTATTTTATTAAGGAAATTTAATGCAGCAAGCATATTTGTAAGAAATGAAAGTAGAAAGCAGATTAGTATAAATTTGAAGGAGATTTCTGACCTGAAGAAGATCCAAAGTCTATTGAACTGTGCTCTCCTGACTTGTTAGCAATTGAATGTTTCATATTGGCCTTAAACATATTAGAGCTCTCAGAAGAAGTAACGGAATGAGGGTGACTTTTGCATACAATTATAGATTGCTCCTCGTCTCCAATGTTATGAGAATCTGATTGTGATAGTGAAACACACTTTGACAATGAATAGATAACCTTTTGTTCAGTGACACCTCTTTCTGTTATATGATTGGATCTCCAAATATCCACCGACAAGTCATCTTTAATCAATGCAACCTTACATGATATCTTGTTCCTGTAGAATCTCAGGTCTCGCCGAAGATGCCTAAGAGAAATGTATATATATAAAGAAAATGGTGAATTACATATAATATTGAACCGACTGTTTTCATAACGTAAAGCATAAGTTTACGAGTATTTTATTTCTTAATGTGGAAAATTGTTTAATAAAGCATTTTGGATGACTAATTTTGTTCGATTGTTTTCCAGGAAATTCGACTTCATCTCATAGAAGAATATAAATTATTCTACAGATCATGAAGAACATCGGCATATAACTTGAGGTAAGACCATAGTTTAAGCATCAAGAAAACAAATAGATTTTATCATATTTTATAATATTAAAAAGTAATACATCAAATTAGTAAATGGAACTTTGAGTATTAACTAATTTATTTTTTGAAAATTATAAGAACATTATTTTAATCCTTGAAGTTATAAAATATTGATATTTTAGTAGTTGAAGTTCTTTAAATAATTAAAAGAATCAATATTTCATAATTTTGGAGTTTAACATGATATTTTTATTCCAAGAATTAAATTGAATAATAGTTATAATTTAAGGAACTAATTGAGTATTTTACTCTTTATAACATGTTAACAACCATACTGAATATATATACATATCAAGAAAAATAAGGAAAATGAAAGAATGCAAATGTGCAAAAGAGTAGTGTAAAAAGGAGATGATGATATACAGCAAAAAAAAAAAAAAAAAGATGATGATGATAAATTAACGATAATAATATTTTTATAACTCATTTTTATTATTCAATTTTTATATCTCTCTTCTTTCTATATTAAACCATCTATCACATTTTCTTTTTCCTTTTGTTTTACTTTAACCCATACCCCGAACTACTTCCCTTGAGTAGGTGTCAAAGTACCATCACCACATAATTAATTAGAGAAATACAGTATAAAGAAAAGTATGCATATATCATGCACTACGGTGACTAAAAAATGTTGGAGAATCTTAATTCTGAAATAGAATGTGAAATGAAGAATGCTGAGGGTACTAATGCTTGATATGAAAAGAAGAAATTCATGTAGAGTTAACAATAAGCTCACGTGGGTTTCGAATCACCAGAGGAAAACCTTAATTTAAATCAACTTAACCTTTCATGTGCATATGCCTAATTCTGGAAGTAGGATAGTTAGCTAAAGTGAAGATTTGTCATAAAAGTTAAAGATTAATTCAAAGCTAGAAAAAATTAATCAACGATAAAAAAAAATTTGGTTACTAGAAAAAATTAATTAAGGCTAGGTTGATAGCATGTTTTATTCTGAATATGTGAGAGGCAAAAATTTCCACACCAAGAAGAAATTTTGCA